TGTGGGATATCGGGGGGAGGGAGCACCGGCCGGGAGGGGGTGGTGCTGGCCGGGAGTAAGGGGGGGCAGGAAGCAGAGCTGGCAAGGCGGGAGCAGCGGTGCTGGCCAGGGAGATCAGGAAGAGGAATGGGCCAGCAGGAAGCAGAGCTGGTGGGGGGGAGGGGAGTCGTGGGCTGCGGTGCTGGCCGGGAGAAAGGGGGAGTGGAAGGGAGAGCTGTCTGGCGTGCAGCCAGAAAAATCAGAAAATGCCGGACATTGCACATGTCCAGTATTTTCTGATTTTTTTTACTGGGCAGAGAGCGCAAATACTGGACTGTCTGGTACAATACCGGACACCTGGCAACCCTACCCATAGGACCCAGGCTACTAAATGCAATGCAAGTTGGATTAATGCAATTGCAATAAACTGGGGGCAAAGGTTGGGAGGTGCCTCTATTTCAGTTGTTCTCAAACTTTTTGGCCTGTGAACCATCTGCCTCAGTGTAAACCTTTCTGCAGACCACTAATGGAAATTCATAGTTAATTACATAATTATGCCAGAGCCATTTTGCTAGTGCTGCAGCTAGGGAGAATGGTTTAATTTAAATAATTAAACTGATTAAGCATTTTAACTTTCTCATGTTCGTTTATCAAACTTCCTTTTAGATAAAGTAAAATATTTATGTCCCACCCAAAAAGTTTCAATGTTTTCTTTATTTATGGGAGGGGCAGGGAACCTTTTTTGGGTTGGGGGCCACTGACCCACAGAAAAATCAGTTGGGGACCACACAGATGAGAAACGAAAAAGCTACTCCAAAATCCCCCAGTCCTCACTGATCTGATCCCCAGCTGAGATACATCACTCCTCTGGCGCTCCAGCCTCACAGGGTGAGGGAAAGAAACAGGGAGGTCTGAGGTTCAAGGTAAGGATGTTAAATTGTGGTTATCAAGCTAATCGTATATTCAATACAAATTGTATTGACTGCACAATTAGTCGATAAGCGCCACTGCAGAGCTTCAGCGAGGCTCCAGGAGCCAGCTTGAACCCAGGCCGCTGTGAACAGGGGCTGCTTGGCAACAGCTGCCCCTGTATGTCATGGACCCAGCTCCCTGCTGAGCTCCCCATGGACAGGGGCTGCAGCCCAAGCAGCCTCTGCGGATGGTGAGCCTCGGCCCTCTGGAAGCTGTCTTTCTGTGAGCTGGCTAAGTGCCCCTGGGTCTGTGTTATGTCCAAACAGAGCATCACTGTGCACAAAGACCAATATCAGTGGAATCTTGTTGGGAGAGGGTGCCATAGATTTGCCTGATGTACTTATCAACTTTCTCATGGAGATTCCATGGCATTTCTCCTCCACCTTGGTACGACATTCTCCCAACCACTCCTCATACTGTGCTGCTGGAATCAAGGCAGCACAGAGTTTGGCTACATAAGGAGCAGGGTGTCCAGAGGTGAAAGAAAGTGCCTGAGTGCAGCGCTCTGATAAGAAGCTGGCTGGCCAGCTGAGACACTTGTCTGCAGTGGGAGGGACTCAGCAGCAGGAAACCAGGCAGGTTAGAGGGTTGACTGGGGGTGCTCTTCCCCCCACCTCCAGGACTGCCCCAGCCCTGAGGTTCCTACCTCGCTGCAATTTCAGGGAACATACCAGGTCCCTTTTGCTTTTCCTGCTTCCTCTGACTAGAGAGTATGGGGAAGTGCAGAGCCTGCTGTGTTCCTCTTCTGCCTCTCTCCTGTGCAGCTGGGAGTGAAGGGAATGCAGCAGACTCTGCACTTTCCTTCACTCCCTAATCAGAGGAAGCAGGAAAAGCAACACAACCCAGTATGTGAGGCTGCAGCTCCCCCGCCCCCTGAAATGGCACCCTTGGCCACTTTCACTCACCTCTACACACACTCAGCCCACTGCTCTGAATCCTGCACCCCCATATTTCCCCAGTTCCTGAAGATGCGCATCATGCACCTTTCCAGACCACCCCACATTATGTCTGTGAAAAGCCCATGGTGATCCACAGGCATCTGAAACACCATGAAGAACTACTCCTTATAATTGGCATACTCTAGAGCATGGTGGGGTAGCACTACAATGGGAATGTGTGTGCCATCGATTGTCCCACCATATTTGGAAAGCCCATATTAGCGAAGCCAGCTACTATGTCATCCACATTTCCCAGAGTCACAGTCCTATGCAATTTATTTCTCTGCACACTTGCATAAGCACTGCCCGAATGGTAGAATTCCCCACTCCAAACTGCTTTGTAACTGAACAGTAGCAATTGTGAGTCACCAGCTTCCACATAGCAATGGCAACATGCTTCTCTATGGAGAGAGCAGCTTTCATTTGGGTGTCTTTGTGCCATAGTTCAGGGGCCAGCTCATTACACAGTTCGAGAAAGGTTGCTTTCTGCATCCAGAAGTTCTGTAGCCACTGTTCTTCATCCCACACCTGCATGACAATGCGATCCCACCACTCAGTGCGGGTTTTCTTAGGTCAAAAGCAACAGACTGTGGTGCACAAGTGATCTGTGATAGTCCAATGCACTACTAATTCATTAATGTCATTCTCATCCTAATGTGAGTCATTGTTAAACATCAAATCCATAATTAGCTGTGCTGCAAGGTGCTGTGTCTTAAACATATTGATCACACTACAGGAGAGAATTGTAAGATCCAGGATTTCTCATGGCAGATGCTTGAGTTTGCAGCAAGGACTGTCATTCAAGTGGTATGTAAGTAAACTGGAAGCCCAGGGAGTGCTAGGAAGCGAAGAGGTGGTTGATGGGACATTTTCTCATGTTCCCAAAATACATAACGCTTTGTTTCCATTCCCACAGTGCTTAGTAGCTGAGTGTGACAGCGGGCACTGTGGGATGCATACTCACATTGCTTTGCTCTTGCTGTCGATAGAGTGCTAGCAATGTGGCCATGAAATGCTGACAGTTGGAGGCCGAAAAAAAGCCTTGTTTGTTCTTTGACTTAGTATAATGTTTTGTAGCAATATACTTCACATATGAGAGACTGTATCTTTGAAAAAATATTTTTGAAAAAGCTTTTGTGATGAAGAGACGGGGGCTACGTCTACACTGCAGGCTTCTTGCGCAAGAACTTTTTGCAGAAGAGATCTTCCACAAAAAGTTAATGCGCAAGAACGCGTCCACATTGCCATGTGCTTTTGCGCAAGAGAGCGTCCACACTGCCATGGATGCTCTTGCACAAGAAAGCTCTGCCATTCACAGCATGGCCATCAGAGCTCCTGTGCTATTTCCGATAAGGGTTTCTTACACAAGAAACCCCTGTTGTCCGTCACATGCCTTTTTGCACAAGAGCTCTTGCACCAAAAGGCTTATTCCTCATAGAAAGAGGAATAACTCTTGTGCAAAAAGCCCTGTCTTCTGACGATCTACTGTACTTGCGCAAAAACTACTATTGTACTTTTTCTTGTGCTTGTAGTGTGGACGCTCTGCGAGTTTTTGCGCAAAAACTCTGCATGTAGACATAGTCTAGGTGAGGTAAGATTTTTGACTCTCATCAACTGAAGTTGGCCGAATCAAAAATATTGCCTCTTCCTCTTTGACTATCTAATATCCTGGAACTGATATGATTACAACACTGGATACAAATTTTGTGATGAAGGGAGAACTTCACAACATAATTTTGCATGTATTTTATATAAATATTCATTGAATCATAGGGTTAGAAGAGACTTCAGCAGATCGAGTCTAACCCCCTGTTAAAAATAGGACCAATCGCAAATAAATCGTCCCAGCCAGAGCTTTGTCAAACCAGGACTTAAAAACCTCTAGGGATGGAGATCCCACCACCTCCCTAGGTAAATCATTCCAGTGCTTCACCACCCTCCTAGTGAAATAGTTTTTCCTACTATCCAACCTAGATCTTCCTCACTGCAACTTGAGACCATCGCACCTTGTTCTGCCATCCGTCACTACTGAGAACAACCTCTCTCCATCCTCTTTGGAACCCCTCCTCAGGTACTTGAAGGCTGCTATCAAATCCCCCTTCAGTAGACTACATAAACCCAAATCCTGCAGCCTCATTAATGATGAAAAAATAAAACTATTGGCTCCAAAGATGTTGGTTACAAGACTTCTCATAGCTGTATGCAAACAGCGTCAAGAGATATATAGAGGCTATTTTAGAGGTAATTTACCAAACCCTAACTCAAATACAAAATATGTAATTTAATATATATTTTTATTGAATTCTTTCAATTCCAAATTTTAATTACCGGTACAGGAAATATATTTTCTTAATATCCTCTGTGCTAAAATATACATGTACATCTCATAAAAATGAATAGTTCTCTCAAAGTTTTATTACAAGAAGTTTAAAAATATTATTGTCAATTAGTTATTAAGAAAATATCTGTACTTCTATGTAACAAATTAGAGAAAAAACAAAAACTTTAGATATTTCTATACAACTAATTAGAGAAAAAACAAAAACTTTAGATATTTCTTTGAAGTATTTTTAAAAAAGAATTAAAGTTCCTCCTTCTTCACAGTTATCCCTTTTGATTTATCCTTTTCAGGTTCTTTTTGCTTCTTTTCTTCTTTTGCCCTTTCCCTTTCCTTTTCTTCTTCAGTCTGTTTTATGTTCATTTTCTCTTCAGGATCCTGAAGAAATAATGAAAAGATCAGTCCACAATAATGTTATTTTGAGTTCAATTCTGTCAGTCTTCTGTGTACTGAATTTACATTGAATTCAGTAGGACGGAGTTTGCCAATAGAAGAATTGCAAGGGCCTTTTCTTTTAATGGACATCTAAACTTTCTTACTTCTGTAAGACACTACAGTAACTTCTTACTGTCTTTCCAAACTACACACATAGAACATATTTTAGCAGCAAATGGTTAAACTGTTGGCTGTTTTACTAAAATGGAATATCTGTGACAAGAATATAAGAGATCAGATTCTGTCCCTGGGTCCCATACAGCCCTCTGAGCTTCAGGGGCTTTAATACCCAGAGGAAAACTGCTCCCAGGACAGCAGTTGCATAAGGCTGACAAAATGTTGCTCTATGCTGCCTTGCTGTCTCCACCATAGTGGACAAGCTTGAAGCAGGAATAAATCTGTCAAGGAGGTAGAGTAGCTAGAGTGTTCAGCATTATGGCTCCCCTGGGCTGCAGAGCAACACATTTGCAGTCCTCGAGTCTGTCATTAATGCTGTGGTGGCCAGGGGACGCAGCAGAACCTGGACGTTTATTCCAGAAAGAAAAACCCTTGAATTATTAATAACTTAAGGCTAAAGTCTGACCTCAGTGTAACACTCTTAGGGCATATCTACACTGGGGAGCGTTCACACTACGAAGCCCATTACAGGCAGTCCCCGGGTTACGTACAAGATAGGGACTGTAGGTTTGTTCTTAAGTTGAATCTGTATGTAAGTCGGAACTGGCGTCCAGATTCAGCCGCTGCTGAAACTGATCAGTTTCAACAGTGGCTGAATC